AACAGCAAGGGGAGAGAGATGGGGGGGGGGTGCTGGGAGAAGCTTAAAAGTTGTTCCCCTGCCCCTCCCCCCAGCTCCAGCTCCATGGGAGGGGACAGGAGCGCAGCAGCAGCTTTCCACCTTTACAATATACAAGAGTCCCCACAGGGGCTCTTGTATAAATTTTGCCTTTGAAATGTACTTTTCAAAGGCGAAATGCCTGGTACTTCTGCCTTTGAAATGTAGCAACAGCTGGGCGGACTCTTGCTACATTTCAAAGCAGAAGCACCCATACCGACTAATCAAGTAGTTGATGGAAATTCCATCAACTATTTGATTAGTTGATTAATCTAATTTTAACATCCCTAGTTTGGAGATTGAACTACACTGTCTCCATGTACCCTCCATCCTGACCTGCAATGATCACTTCTGAATATGACAAAGTGGAAAAGCTGTACTGCTGCTGTCCACCTTATAACAGTTCTGCTGATAATAGGAGCTCTTCAATCTCAAATATTGTCAGTACGGTCTTTTCACAGGTGCTAGAGACAAAAAACTGTCAATAGTATAAGCTTACTTATGGAGTTGAAATATTTGATAAATTAGCATGGGTTTCACAAGAAGATTCTTATAAAACTCTGACCGAGAGCAGGACTTTTCAAGAACAGCTATTTGTTATGAATTATATTTTGTGTAATTTATGGGCCTTGTTTAGAGTTAAACTTCTTTACATCATATGTATCTTCTAACATGAGGTTTGGATCTGGCAGTCTCTAAATCCTTTACTACAACTAGCTAATTTCTTTGTTTTGTAAGGCTATATCTACATGGCATACCACTTTCAATGGTATACAAGCTATGCGTGATACATGCTCCAGTGATAAGCATGCTGCATTCACACTGTGGGTGTAGTAGCTACATGAGTCAGCGAAAGACTCTAGAAGTGGGGAGGCAGCTGGGGAAGGTTCCAGCAGCTGCACTCCTGTCAGAGCCTTCCCTTGCTGGAGACTTTTCCTATGACAGTAAAGGATTTTAGCAATGAACAGTGTGCAAAGCTTTTACTTTCTGCTTCACCCCCTCCTCCGTTCGCATCACTTCCTGTGACAGGAAAAAGCTCCAGCAGTGGGGAGATAGCTGTGTAGACAGGGAGGCTGGGTTTGTATTCAGATGCACATCCACGCCCTTTACTTGCCTAAGCTATGTCTGTCTACAGAGCTATTTTATACCCATTCTGGGTGGTGGGTGGGAGGGCTATAAGGTGTATATTTGACATGCCCAGAAAGAAATGTGCAGTTCAGATGCATCTCATCAGAATTTTTTCATCAGAATTTGTGTTTTCTGAACCTGGTAATCATAAATTATATTTAGGATGATGCTTTCCCCTTCAGTCTTCTGTATTACTGCAGCTAGGAGGGTGTAGTTTCTCTCTGCCAGCAGATGGAGACAATACATGGAGGCTTTATGGTGAGGTCATTCATAACCTAGAAGATGAGGGGCTTTTGTCAGGTCCCAAAGCTTATTTGTTTGTCTCAATCAGGCTGAGGATCAGTATCTTCAATGGCTGTGGAGTAAGCCCCAAACAAAGGACACAGTTCTTGAGCAGGCGTCAAGGTCTCAGTGGATTTCCAACTGCGTACCAATATGCAGCTCCATAAGTAGCATAAACAGCATGAAGGGCAGTGAGTTAGCCATATCGTACTCCTGTGAGCTAACTGCTGCACTCACTTCAGAACTAAAACGTGTCTATGCTGCTTGGCTATCACACTAACAATACTGTAGACTTATCCCACAGGAGTCCTCTCCTGAGGGCTTGAGAACTACGAGGTAAAAATTAGGGATGTTAAATATCAGTTAACTGAATACTCGAGTAACCTCATGAATTCTTACCGGTTACTTAACTATTCTGTAGTCCGTGGGGGCGGGGGCTGGCAGCCAGTGTGCTCCGGCCCCACTCCCAAGGAATCCCCTGCCACTCCAAAGTGCTGCCTCTGTAGTGTGGGGTGCCAGGCAGAAACTGGTCTGTGAGGGGAGCCAGTTTAAAAATCAGCTGTTCTTGTGGACCGCCTGCCTGTCGCCCTGTGCTGCTGCCTCTGATACAGAGGCAGCAGCATGGGGTAGAAGTAGCCCCTGTCGGGGGTGGGGGGAGGTCTGAGATCCCAGACCTAGTACAAGCCAGAACCCAGCTGGGCAGCTTGGCTGCTAATACACATTAAATGCAGAGCTGCAACAGGGGTAGGTCCCGGACCCATCACAAGCCAGGACTGAGCTGGGCTGCTGGCCAGCCTGCTAAAAAATTTACTGGTGGGGGGTGAAATGCATGTAGTCTATAGCATTAACCTATAAGCTTTTGCTTATCGATTAATCGACTACACTATTACATACCTAGTAAAAATTTTAAAATGGCAAGGTAGGGCGAGAACTGCCTATCCCAAAACCCTATCAACCCTATCCACAGAAGGCCCCTCAATTGCAGAGGGTCCAATGTCCAGGCAGACAAGCAGATCTTTACCAAAAGAGGATTCATGGTGCATTTGCCAAGGTCTGATAAAGAGCCTTCCATGCATTTTAGGTGCCTTTCTCATTTGAGTCTCTGTAGCTCCAGGGCCTTAATCTACCCATGGAATCCTGACTGCAGATACCAGTGGGTAAAGAGGGGAACATACCTGAGGTGGAACATACGCCATGACCCCATAATAGTAGTTTTCACTAACAGAAAGGATCAAGTCTATTTGTCATAACCAGAGTTGAACCGTTTGACTCGTTCTTCACAACAGGCTGAAGAATGGTGTGGGGACACTGAACAGCCATCACTCAGTTAAATAAACTGACTTGAAGCAAAGATATGACCAAGGAAAACTAGGTATTGAAAGCAATCAACCTCCCACCCCTTTAGCCATCTTTTTAGCCAGAGTATGCAACAGAACAGATAAGCTAAACAGATTCTAAATATGCTAGGGAGAGTGGAAAATAGTGATTTTTTTTTTTAGAGAGAGAGAATTTGACACAACAGAGGACCACAACAGAGTAGATTGCCACAGAGTCCAACAGAACAGCAGAGAGGTAGTTCAGCGGGACTAGAGAAATGAATTCTAGCAGCACAGATGGTCTAGCAACTAAATAGAATAGTGTGCTGCCATGCTTTTTTCCGCATTGACATATGATGGGTGTTAGGAATCTTGCAAAAAGGCTTGGCAGCTCAGAGCTTCACAACAGCAGCATGAGTGCCATGGAAGGAAGAAAAACAAAATGAGCAGCATCAAAATTCATTCTTTCCAAGCAAATGCAGTTTTTGGTCAGGGAAGATTGCTTCAGTGCTGAAAAGGAAGTCTGAGAAGCATTCAGAATATATGGCATTAGAAAATTCAAGGCATCGTGCTTGGAAGTTGTATGCGGAACTACAGGCAATCGGTAAGGCAGACACCTGGAGTATATGTCCTTCAATGTTTAACCTATAGTGTTCAGAGAATATAATGGTCAGGCATGAGGTGATTCATCATTTCGTAAGACTGCTGAAGACAGCTTTTATGAGATATAATCAGTACTTAGTAAATGGCATAGCATTACTTTTTTTAAGGTATCCAAATGTCTGGCGTGGCACAGAAAATCAAAGAGGAAACATTTCCTTTATGTATTAAATTTTCTTTCTTTGATATCTTCTGTGCCAATCCAGGCCTCCTCCCTTCAGGTTTAGTACTGTCTTCTGAAAATTTCCAGGAGGACTTTTTCAAAGAGCAAATTTCATGCTAAGACTTCAAGATCTAAAATCATATGTGGTGTATTTTACACAATAAATTACAAATATAGGCACTGCTTTAGGAGATTTAGCTGACTGATGGGAGCTAGCTAGCAGGCCAATTGGAGCCAGAAACTTCCTTGTTCGCTCGTGATGACATCACTAAAAATTCTCAAGGACTTCACTGGAGTTATGCCAATTTACATGAGTTTAGGATCTGTCCCTCAAAGTAATGTCTTCATCTGCTGGCAGATTGGGACCATAAGTATATGCACTTGGACTATCAAAGAAGATCTCTCGGAAAATTAGTGAGGACAAATTTCCTTTTATTTTTAGTTCAGAATTAAATCTAAATTGTGCTGAGTCAAAATAACTGGGAATGCAGTCCATCAGTTATGGAAAGTATTTATAATTTATTTCCAAATTATATAATTTAAACATCATTTCTTGTTTCTCAGGTCACGGAGTTAGCAGGCTACACAGCTCGAGTGTTTAACATGTTTTCAGTCTTTGATGAAGTGAAGAGAGGCATTTACAAAAGAACTGCTGTTATTCAAGAGATTGAAACCTACCACAAGAACGAAGATAAAGCAGAAAAACACATTGATGGCCCGTTGGAAATCAAGGGTGGGTAATTCACATTTTGATACCTTTCTCTATAAAGCCTTTAGCGTGGTATGCCACTTTACTGGTATAAATAAAGGTGTTCTTTAAACAGTCCTTGCTGTTATTTCTAAGTTGTACAGACCAACTTCTCTCCCATTGCATATTCCTAATCTACGTCTTTGCAGTTTTCTGTGCCTCCCAGCAGACAAAACTTTTGTCATTTATGAGTACTTAAAATAAAACTATTATGAATAACAAAGTTTTGTAGTGGGAAGTGAAAATGTGAACTTTGGTTTGTTTGCAAAAACCCCTTTGTATGGGGTGGAAATAAAAAGTATAGACAAATATTGTTCACACAAGCTGACTTTTAATGACAAGGCTGTAACAGCCTTGTGTAGAAATAACCTTAGATTCCTTCACAATATACTCTCATAAGGGCAGGCTGGTAACACTCCATCAAAACCTCAACAAAAAACTGAGGTTATTAACTTGTTCTCCCCTTCCCAGAAAAAATCTGCTTTCTTTTAAATTTATTTAATTTTCATTAGAAAACTGAAATCTGAAAAAATTGATTTATTTTTATTTTTATTTTGTAAGTAGGATTTGGTTCCAGATAATTTCAGGCCCTGAAAACCAAAATGTATTCAGTTTTCATATTTTCAACAAAGTCAAACATTTTCACTGAATTTTTCTGATCAGCTCCAACCCTCCTGCCTGCCTTTTCCCTTGCTCCCCCTACCCACTGTGTTCTGTCATTTCTCCTCAGTTTCTTCCACCTTATGTCTGTCTAGTGATAGAGATGCAGCTGTGTTAGTCTGGTCTAGCTAAAACAAAACACAGATCTATGTAGCACTTTAAAGAGATGGTTTATTAGGTGATGAGCTTTCGTGGGCAAGACCCACTTCCTAGTGGGTCTGGCCCATGAAAGCTCATCACCTAATAAACCATCTTGTTAGTCTTTAAAGTGCTACATAGTCCTGATTTATGTCTGTGTGCCTTTGTAACTGAATTTTTACTGTGCCTTATTACCCATTTCTGTCGCTGCTCCCCCCCAGCTAGTTTCTTCTCCACTCCCCTCGTGTAGTCTTTTGACACTTACTCCATTTGAATACCCTATTGGACTCCTTCCATTTCCTGCTTCCCAGCTGTTGTTGACAAACCAAATCCCTTCCCCACCCTCTAGAAAAAGTTAGCCAGTCAGAGGTGAAGAAGTTAAATTGCTGTGTGTGAAATATTTTCTTCCTCTCTTACAACACTATTGCCCTTCAGCATAGATTTCTCAACAGAGTCATAACAAACACCCTGAGGTGGCACATTCATTAACTGTTAGCAGCTGATTTCTTGACCTTGTAGGACACAACGTGTGACTACTAATAAAAACAAGCAACATTTTGTATTAGCTATGTTTTCTAATGTAGTAGAGAAAAAAGTTTTGTAGTCCATATAGTAGTAAATTAATGAACTTGACCCAAAAGCAATTGTTCTTTAGCGTGACTACCTATTTATTTTAAAGACTGAATGCAGTTTGGATATGAGAAGTCCTACTGATGTTTCCATGTGGTACAGCATCCCATTCTTTTTCTTATTTCATCAGCTCATACCAAAGCTTTGTTTTCACCTACTTTGCAGAGGCTATATGTTTTTTGAGGCTCTCCCATCATAAGTTTCACTGTAATAATAATTTTCTTCCTTTCAGTCTTGATAGCTTCAGAAATCCCAGCACAGGAATGTATAACAGGGTGTGTGGGGTGCATGTATCTGTGCACTTGTGTGCGAACACGTAAGTGTGCATACTGTTAATAAAAAATCCATATTTTAAACTGCCTTTTAGGGCAAGTTCATTACATTGTCCATACCACTTATTTTCTCTTAAATCATTAATAGGAACATGTGCCACCAGATTGTTATATTATTTCTCTGTATTTACTATAGTCCATAACTGTGTTGACATAGGCCAAGAAAGAATGCCATTTTAAACAGACAAGGTGGGTGAAATATTTTTTTTTTTTATTGGATCAACTTGTGTTGGTCAGAGAGACAAGCTTTTCAGCCACACAGAGCTTTCTTGCACCTTGTCTCTTTTACCAATAGAAGTTGATCCAATAAAAGATATAATATCATCCACCTTGTCTTTCTAATATCCTGGGACCAACTTGTATGCAGTGTAGTTATAACCAACCTTTTAAATACTTCAGTCCAGTATTACATTACTGTACTTCAGTCTTTCTGTAGCATTCCAAATTATAAAAATATCATTATAATTGATATCACTGCTTCCAATATTATATTCCTCATTATATTAAAAACAAATTAAACAACCTTACATGAAGAGATCATTAAATTCACAAAGTCAAGCACTCAAATGTTTGGAAATCCCAGAATTAATGTTGCTTGTGCAACTCTCACCACAATAGCTGCATATTTTACAAATGCTATTAATTGATCTACACAACATCCATGTGATATTTGAGGGCATTATTTTTACTATATTCTAACTGAGGCATGATGAGATGAAGGACAAATACATCACAGGTTCCCAATTTGAGACACCTAGAGATTTCAGATTTAGCATTTTTATATATCCAAAGTTCATCTGTGACTTCTGTGGCTGTCATGAGCACTCCTGAAAAATCTGGTCCCACCTGTCTGATGTCCGGCACCTAAAAAATAAGGAGCTCACAGTTAGTTGATAATAGTAAACATTTTGGTTCAAGTGGCTTATCTAGCATATCAGATGGGAGAGGCATGGAGTAGAATCTAGTTCTCCAGAATAGTATTTTAATTATCTAACCATATTCTCCTCCAATAGTCTTCTGCCTTCTTCACTGCGCATTTCCTTCTTGTGAAGGAAAATGTAAGGCAATCTTAATTATAGGCAGTGCTACCAGAGCCACCTGTAACAATCCTGTATATAAATATTATTGGATTCATTTAAGACTTAAGAAAATATGTAGTGTTGTCAATTAATTGCAGTAAACTCGTATGATTAACTCAAAACATTCATCCTCATCAACAACCATGGCTTAATGCTTGTTGGTGTCCGATGCCTCCCTTGCTATTTCCTTCCATCTTTCCCTGTCCAGTGCGCAGTGGCTTAGTTTCTGTAGACTAGCTCCGCACCAATCTATTATATTATCTACGCATTCTCTGTGGGGTTTGCCTCTCCTATTCAGACCATCCATCGTGCCGAATACCAGGGTCTTAACTATTCGCTTGTCATTCATTCTGCAGATATGCCCGAATAGCTGTAACTTCCATTGTACAACCTTCTGCAATAGGTTCTCTTTTGGCTGTATCTTCCTATATAATTCCTCGTTGGTGACCTTCTGCATTCATCCTATTCTCAGGATCTTTCTATAACATCTCCTCTAGAATGCCAGTATCCTTCTCTTCAAATTTTTTGTTATCACCCATGTCTCACATCCATACAACATGCTGCTAAATACACACATTTTCAAGACATTCAGCTTCGTTCCTAAGCTAGTCACTTTACTTTTCCAGATCTTATCCATCGCCTTCAAACTTGCTCTTGCTTTCGCTATTCTAGTTGCTATTTCCTTCTTACAGTCTCTAGATCGTACATCGTATTGCTCCCCAAATATGTGAACTTCTCTAGTTCGATCCCATCTAAACTGATCTTCCTTCCTATTTCCTTATCTCCAAATACTGTTGTCTTCATTTTATCGATATTCATAATCAGTCCATACCGCTTCCCTTTATCGGGATTAAACATGAATCGTGATTAATCGCAGTTAATTGCTTGACAGCCTTATAAATCTGCTGCTTTTTCATTCCCTCTTGCTCATCAAAATGCATTTCTGGTATTTTTAGGTTGAATGTGCCATTGTTTGGCCAGAATATAGAAATATTAGATGTCTGATTTGTTTTTTGTTCTAAAGCTTCAAAGGGGTAGCCAAGTTAGTCTGTGACTGGAAAAACGTATTCTTAGAAGAACTTAATCATTAGTTCCCATGAATTGTTGTAAAATATCTGTGTGATTGATTGAGTTTACACGTTAAATCCTTTGCTAAATCTAAAACAGTTATTACATGCTACATTTATATATGTATCCATAATCACTTATAAGCTAGCTATTACTGTTTTTATGGTTTTTGAGGCACCAAATTGCCTGAGAGGATGGCAACAGGCCACGAAATGCCTTCCCCTGTGGTCTCATTGCTGAAGGAGATTAGACTGGAATATTAATGGCAAATTTTTCCTAGGATGTGAAGTCTGGAAAATAATGGAAAGCATCTTGTGTTTAAGGTGGATGCCACATACGATGCACACCTTATCCTCCTTAGAGTTGGGTTGAGATAATGATATGACTGTGGTTACAGTCTATCAGACTGTCTTTAGACTGAGAGCAGCACAGGACGGAGGACAGAGTCAATATGGTGGCCCTCGAGTATTGGCCTAGTGGTCAGAGTCTGCGCGGCTGCCCTTGGAATGAGGGCTGTGTTGCTTAGCAGCCAGAGTCAGGGCAGTGGGCAGCCAGGTAGGGGAACCCAAGCTTTCCCACTCTACCGGAGTCCCGGGCTCTGTTGACAATGGGAATGGTCATTAGTCAGTGAGGAATCCTACCACTGACTTTGCTGAGGTAGTAGATACCATCTGCCCCCAGTCACATCCTACCATGTCTCCCGAGGTAACAGTCCGTATAGTTTCAGGGTCTTCTGGCAGGGCCATCTGGAGATAGTTGTTCTCTAGATTCTGTAGTTCCCGCAGTCTGTGGCTGTAGCAACTCCTGGCCTGGAGCCCTTATAAAGCGTCTTTTGTCCACGATCAGCCTAGAATAAGCTAGGCTGCTCCCTTTTATTCTGAGGCAACAGTTGGAGCATGTCTGACATGATCTGAAGGGCAGGATTTCCACCACCCACAATGTGAAATTAACCATCTCTTGTCCAGTGTGAAGTATGCACATCCTATCACAGAGGTCTTAAAAATACCTATTTATTTATGGTTTCACAATCAATCATACTTTAAATATTGGGCAATGTGTAAAGCTAATTGTGGAAAAAAAACCTTCATTAGTAGTAATAATAATGAGCACTTCTATAGCTTTGCATTTCTAGAGTTTTGTACAGACTCAACTAACTAATCCTCACAGTGCCATAGGGAGCAAGTTAAGAGTTGTCTCTAATTTTGCTGAAGGTTTAAATTGAAGCACAGAGAGTTTGAGACTTGCTCAAAAGGCCAAGGTTTAGAATTCCAGAAATTCATGGCTGTCAGCCTTGTTCTTGGACTACTAGATCAAACTGCCTCCCTGAATGTTTCAGTAACTTTTTTTTGTTTAACTTATAGGAAAAGTTATTGATGTTGATCATGGAATTATTTGTGAAAATGTTCCTATTATTACCCCAAATGGAGATGTGGTGGTTTCCAGACTTAACTTCAAAGTAAGATGATATGCAAGAATCTTCTGATTGTTGCCATCACATTAACACAAAACAACACAGAGTTCATGTACCTTATGTTAAATACTTGGAGAAGAGGGGAAGTCAAGAAAGGTAGGCATAGTGGCTCACTAGTGGCAGATATGTACAGTGTATCCTGCTCAAAGAAAATGGAGCTTGAGGAGAAAGAATGGTTTGATTTGTGTTAGTCAGAATAAAAACTACAGCTGGATTTTCAGAATTGCCAAAGGGAGTTCTGCATCCAACTACTGTCTCACAGAAATTCAGTTGAAGTGCTTAAAACCCTTAGGATGCTTTACAGATCTTCCAAGCCCAGAACATTAGTGCAAACAGAGTCTGTGAAACTTCATTGGACTGTTACAAGTAGCAATAGCAACTAACAGCTGACAGTATAATCCTGAAGGCCCAATCCTACAATTTTTGCTCACTAAAAATTCACATAGTTTTCAATGATTTATTGCAGATAGCAGTTGATTCTTATTGACACCACCTTGTTAATGCACTACCTTTACTGAATTGCTCTAAAATATGTCACAATGTCCAATGTTAATGCAATAATTATATAGAAATAGGTGAAAGCATTGGAAAATTGCATGAGAACTTTCTCTCCCTCATTTATGCATCTAATTACTCCTGTTACGTACGTGTGTGTGTGTGTGTGTGTGTGTGTGTGAGAGAGAGAGAGTGAAAAACTTTAAGAAAATAATCAACACTTGGTAGAATAGGGCCTTTAATTTGGCAAAACTCACAACTTCTTTAAATGTGTTTCATTTAGCACTATAAAATGGTGGATTGACATTTGAGTAGAGATACCTTTATGTTGTTATACTTTACCTAATAGATTTGTAGAGAGTATTCACATTGCCATTGTGTCGGTGGTGGGAGGGGCGGAAGGTGTAAAGCAGTGTTTCTCAAAGTGGGCTATGCGCCCGCTTTGGGAAAGCCACTAGTGGGCCACGCCACCTTGTTTACCTAATGGCTCTGTAGCCATGGAGACCTGTGGCTCCCTTTGGCTCTGGATCACCGCTTCTAGCCATGGGGAAATGCAGGAAGCAGCAACCTGAGCTATGCAGCTTCCTGTGGCGCTCCTTGGCTGGAAACGATGAGCCAATGGGAGCTGTGAGGTTCTGTGGCTATGAAGCCTGGAGGTAAACAAAGGTGGTGCAGGCCCACTAGTGGCTCCCCACAGTAGGCCTGTGGCTCACTTTGAAAAACACTGGTATAGAGTATGAATAAACAAAGGTGTGTGTGTGTGTGTGTGTGTGTGTGTGTGTGTGTGTGTAATTATATATAATATGAGAAATGCATTAAAATGACCCTATATAAATAGAAATGGCAATTTTATATAATATGAGAAATGCATAAAAATGACCCTATATAAATAGAAATGGCAATTTTAGTTTAATTTTTCACATTATTAGTTCTTGCTTGTACAGTTTCTATTCATTCAATTAAGGTCATGCCCCACATACCGTATGTTACTATATTCGATGCTTTGTGAGATCTCCATTAGTGACTATTTCACTCATACAGAAAATATCATCGTAGGCTGTGTAATGAGATTGTGATGTAGTTCATAGGAAAGTTAAGGCTTGTAAGATTCTGAGTGTTCGTAACTCCCTATAATCCTTTCAAACTGAAGTCAGGGGTTGTTAGTGCTTGAGAGGAATATTTGGCTCCAGGCATAATTTGCAGATGCAGTACAAGGAATACTGAAGTCAGGATTCATCCTAGATAGTGACATATGGTATGTGGGCATGTTTTTTCTCAGCTCCCTGTGACTAGGGTTTAATTTTGCTACATGTTAAGATGAATTGCAGTCAGATTTACTCCAAGACACAAAGTGCCCAAATGGTAATAAAGGTTTTAGTGCTAATGACTCATGTTCTTCCAGAAAATAGCCTGTGTAGCAATACCATGCCCATCTGGCTTGTTTCTTAAATTAGAAAAACACACCTAACCAGCATCTTTGGAGCTACTAAATATGATTTATTTTAGTTTTTTCTTTTGATTTTTTTGAATCCCCATGTTATATGCAAACATAGCTTTTCAAGCAGAGACTGAATAAGAGTTATAGTCAGTTTCACAATATGTACTCATTTAAACTAAATGCTTAAATGACTTTATTGTGGGATGTACTAATCTGTGTTGTTCTATGCCATTTGATGAAGAATGATACATTTTGAACTTTTTGTTTCATTTTCTTGATTTATTTTAGGTACAGGAAGGAATGCATCTTTTAATCACTGGTCCCAATGGTTGTGGAAAGAGTTCTCTTTTCAGGATTTTAAGTGGTCTATGGCCAGTCTATGATGGTGTTCTCTACAAACCGCCTCCCCAGCACATGTTCTATATCCCACAAAGGTATGTGCTTAGTCTATATTAGAATTTTTCCCCCAGTTTTCTGAGATTTGGTCCACTCTACAGATTGCTAAATCCCTGTCACCTAAAGTGTGGTTAGAAGGTGGTAACCCTCGCCTCCTTGTTACTGAAAAGCACAGAAGAATTGCTGCCACGTTCAGTTGCAGGAGGACAGCTCCCATCACCAGTTCCAAAGAGGGTTGGGGATTAGCCCACATGTAACCGGGCAGGACTAGATGATTAAGGAACATTTGGGGGGAGGGGGCGGAGCCGTTTTGGCCTTGAAACATAGTTTTATTTTCTTTTGGTCAAATAGAGGTTGTTTTAAAAACAAATGTGAAATTAAATTTCACAAGTGGGGAACATTTTCCCCCAAACTTAAATTACCATTAAAAAAACATAATTGCAACATAAACCCCTAACTAAATCCAGCATTACGTTTACATTATCACTTTTAAATGTGTTTTTTGCCAAGGAAAGTATGTTTTAATATTTCCCTTGCAATCTGTAGGCCTCCCAGAACACAAAACAATCCAATACATTCCTGTATTTCCCTTTTGAGTTATAACTTAGATGTTTTTGCAAAAGCTAAATCACGCACTGAAAATCTTTACTTGCCTTTTGTAGTTCACCCTCTTCATTTTGGTAAAAGTAAATAGTCATGAAACTCTTTGTGCTCTTTTTAAAAAATAACAGTGATAAAACAAGATGGAATCTGGTACATGATGGAAAGATTTTTCTCTGCTGCTAAACAGAGCTTTCAAAACAGCATAAAAAGCCAGCATGTAAATAACACAAAGGAATGTATTGTAATTAGCTCAGATTAGCACTGAATAGAAGGTAGTGAGGTGTTGAACCCACCCAAGAGGAACTTCTCAGAACTTCAGGGGAATTGTTACATCATTATAGAAATGAACAGTATGCTTTTGCCTGGAAGAAAGGTTTAAATTGTGAGCAGGATAAAGAAGGTAAACCAGGCACTTGTTATCCTTTCTCATATCAATAAGAACAAGAAGACACTTAATGGGACTGAAAGGAATAAAATGTAAAATTGATAAAAGGACACTTTTTAAATGACAATATTAGCCTGTGAGATTCCTTGCCACAATATATCATTAAGGATCAGTAGTTCAGCAAGATTGGCGGGGGCGCGGGGAAGGATAATGAGCACCTTTAGTTGCAATAGTAAGGATGGAAAAAAATTTGAAGGGATATAAACTGTCATGCTTTAGGACATGTTACTCAATCTGTTAGGAAGAAATTTTCTTACGGGGAGTTTATTTTATAAATGCTCATTTGCACTGTTACCAAAAGCATCTGGTTCTGGCCATTATTGGAGACCGAATATTACGCCATTAGATAACCACGGCAAGTCTTATGTAATATCAGCATGGATTTGTAAAGAACAAATCATGTCAACCCAGTCTGATAGCTTTCTTTGATAGAATAACAAGCCTTGTGGATAAGGGAGAAGCAGTGGACGTGGTAAACCTAGACTCTATAAGGCACTTGACACCATCTCGCATGACCTTCTTATCAATAACTAGTGAAATTGTTACCAGATTTACCCATTACTCTGGGTTATGCTCAGGTATTAGGGTTACTCTTACGGGGCTACGGGAGGGTTAATAATTCTATCAGTGTGCTACTTGTGCTCTCATATGGAGTTGAATTCTCCCTGCTGCCAATTCTCCCTCCCAGTGGAGCTCACCTGGGTTCTTCCCACCTTAGAAACACATGGACTCTCTCTCACCCACTAACAGAGCATGTCTGAGGGGACTGGTTAATCCGCACTCACAAGGTGACTCCTTATATGTCCCTGGACTCAGCAGGCTGGGTTTAACAGCAATGCCATGCTGTACCCTCACATGTTTTTGGACTCAGTGGGCTGGATTTAACAGCTCTTTAAGCTGCCATCCTCAAATGCCCCCAGGTTCAGCATATATATAATGAGCTTCACTAGGTATGTTAGAATTAGGCAGGCAGCATGGTGTTTTATGTGCTGGCTACTTTGTAATTATCTTTTTCTATATAGCTACAAATAAATGAACTGATGAAAGCCAGGTCACAAAACATAACAAAACTGTACCAAACTGAGTTCAGGAAGAATAAGTGCAATAGAGTTCATAGCTGTTGCAAAATAAGACTTCCTTCAGTGTACAAGAAGTTGTGGGCAAATAGGGCTTTTGAGTCACTCGTCTTCAAAAAGCATGAGATCCAGGACCAGATAGACTATAGTAGTAGTTGTAGAAGAATGGATTGCTTGTGAGAGAGACTTCTCTTTGTATATACACAACAAAACAGATTATCAAGCTTAACACACAAGTAGCTTAAATTGTAGTCTATATGAAATAATACAGTCCTCGGAACTCAAAAGTTAGGAACTGCTCAGTTAAAGTTGTCCATAGCATCCTTCTGGGAGTGTGCTGAGTGTCTCTTGCCCCAGAAAGAATTTCCACAGCAATGAGCCTGCTGTCTGTCTTGGCTACAAGATTCATTTCGAAGTTCTTAGCTAAGTTCCATTTTAGATTAGGTGGCCCCTTTAAGGTCCTCTACTTCAGAGATGAACAAGTCACCTTCTCTGTGGATCAGATAGGCACTGCTCAGGCATAGTACCTCCCTGAAGTGCTCCCCAAGGAAAGAAGATGCTGCATAAAAGCTTCATAGCTGCTATATGGCAGCCCCTCCATATTGCTCTGTGGGCGCAGAACATGTCTGAGACATGCAGCTATGGCAAGGCTCTATGGTACGAAAGAAGCAGGGCTAGGATTTCGCTTTGAGCACTTGAAAGACTCTTTTAAATAGTACAAAGGCATTTTTCAGTGGGCAAAGCAGACATTAGGTGAAAGGGGTAAAAATGAGAGCTGGAGCTAGGACTCTTCTAAACTCCTAATAGAAAGTTTTGTTGGGCTGATGGGTTTAAAATTCTCTGGAGGAAAAGGAAAGTCTCTGTGTTGCTAATTTCTTAAAACTGAGAAGCTTTGACCCTCAGCCAGAAAGTAGCTTGTATTTGTAAAAAGGACTGTAGGATCTCAAAGCAGGGACCCTATGAACTTGACAGGATTTACTTTACTCTTCTGGGAGCTTGGAGTGAACATGGCCAGTATAATGATGTCCCACTCCTAGGTGGGATGCTAGGCAAGTATTCAGGGGACTCTGATTATAACTAAAGGGGAATAACTTAATAGTCTTTGGTGGGGTTATTTTGAGGCCATTGAACCCTCCTTTTTTGTAGCGTGTATTATGAATTGGATATTGTGTTTTAAATATTTGCTTGTTCCTGATAATAAGAGACAGAGAATAACCCCAGCAGACTGTAAATGGTGCTAGAATCTTGTAACAGAAGTAAATTGCTAGTTGTTTTGGAAAATCTAGCCTCAGGGAATCAGTTTGTTTATTAGCCTGTTACAATTTGCTGCATAGTCGGGATGAGCTTTTTAGTTGTTTGTTTTAAATAATTCAAAAATTGAAGACTTAATAACACTCTGTTCACCGGCCTGATTTTCAGAATATGTTGGAGAGGGGATGCCAGGTTTGCCATAAAATTTCTTGTGAGTCAGACAAATGACTTTTTATCAATCTGAGATAATGTAAGAAGACTGCAGGTCATCACAAAAGTGAGCAATAGTCCTGGACACCTATGTAGATCACCACTTTCATTTACTCTTGGAAGAAAAACTTGTTGCATAGCAGTGTGCTCTAAGGCCATGGTATGCTGTTAGTGCAGTGAATTTGGCAAATGAAACATGGGGTGGCTTATTAGATTACAGCTTGTCCATAAAATACTATATGTTAAGAAGCACAAAAGTATACTTAGAATTTCTTTTATCTCTGTTTCAATATGGGTCTGTGATAGACCTGGGTGGATTTGGTTACTTAGTGGTTAGCACACTTAGGCTATGTCTAGACTGCAGCCTTTTTCCGCAAAAGCTTATGCAAATGAAGCACGGAGTAGAATATTGCTGTGCTTCATTTGCATAATCAATTAGCACCTGTTTTTGTGCAAGAGGCTTTTGCGCAAAAAGGAGCTGTGTAGACTGCTCCTTTTTGCACAAAGCCCCCCTCTTGCACAAGAGCCATTCTTCCTGGAAAAAATGAGGAAGAACAGTTCTTATGTAAGAGGGGGATTTTGTGCAAAAAGCTGATAGAAACTAGCATCTTCCTCTGAGCAGCCTTCAGTAGAATATGTTGAAAAAGAAACAGGTACATTTCTAAGGCCTAGGAAGAAGTAGTCTGATTTGAAACTAATGGTGGCTGTGTTATTAAGTGTTATTGAAATAGCCCTTGAGCAACACTTGCCTTTTCAAGCTAGATTTAGTTTAGACAATTGGCCATTAATTTATGTGAATATAGGGGATGCTTTGAAACAAAAACCCCTTTCTAAAGTAAATGCACTAAGATCAGAGAGGGCTTCTGTGCACCCAAATAAAAGATATTTTATTCATCAGGCCTGTTACTACTATATCCATCGACTAGGACACAACCGTCACGATATCATCTTAAACGTGATTCACAATTCAGAGGAGTTCTCAAATGACATAGTTCAGTTCAGTGCTTCATCTGAATTAACAGAGGATACCTCCAATGTTGAGGTGCTTTGCTGTTCCCCATCCTCATGAAAGGAATGTCCATCCTACCTTTATTAGATCAGAAGAGGCCTAGTCTTTGTCATATGTATTTGGTAAGGAGTTTGCCTGACTGGATCAGCAGAAGACATGCCCAGTTTTATGAAAGATTCACTTAGAACTGCAAAGATCAAAGTATTTTAATTTGCACGTGGTTTCTCAACACAGGGATGATCAGCAGATTACTTGTGAAATTCATCTGGGCTTATTTCCAGAAGTGAAAATTGACTTTTTGGATTATCTGTTGTTTCCTCTTAAGCCATACAAAGTGCCTTGACTACTACACAGATACTAAGTCTACTAATTAGTGGAGCGCCAACAAGCACTTTCTGTTGTGTAGGTAAAGAGCTATGGAATTCCCAGATTGTGAACCACACT